GCGTACAACAGTGTCCCACAAACAGTCGTGGATTGAGTGACCAATTTAAAAACAATAAAAAAATTTAAGGGATTATTACCCCCGGAAAAGCAATCCGCCCAATGACTAACAACCAGGTTCCTACTTACTACTGGCTAAACAGAAGTGTGTGGTGTAAGGAAATTTGCCCAATGTTTCACCCTGCTGGGGATCAAACCCAGGTCTCTCGCTTGCGAGGTGTGTGCTCTAACCACTGAGGTACAGGACTCCATGCTCTTAAATGCTCTTGGACTCCTGGTATCTCATCCATCCCCATTTTGCTGCTTGGATGCTTCACTCTTCCAACTCATGTCTGCTGTACATCACTCACTTTTACCATCAGTGGCTGAGCTTTCAGACAGTGAAACTCTCAAAAAATCTGTACCCTCTACAACAACAACTTGGATTGATTTATATAGCGCCCTCACGCCGGACATCGTCTCAGAGCACTTTACAGTGACGGATCCCAGGACCGAGCCAGGAGGAGGGGGAGGAAGGTGACCAAAGGCGCGGTCGAAAAGAAAGGTCTACCCCTCTCTTTGGTGATATCACCACATGATTTCTTTAAAGCGCCTTCAGAAGTTATTAGTCTCCTTATTTAAGGAAGGATGTACTTGCCTTGGAGGGCGTGCAGCGTAGATTTACTAGGTTAGTACCAGGGATGAAGGGGATGAGTTACGAGGATAGGCTGGCCAATTTGGGCCTATATTCTCTAGAATATAGAAGGATTAGAGGGGATCTTATAGAAACCTATAAGATCATCAAAGGGCATGATATAGTAGATAGTGGGAGATTGTTTCCCCTGGTTGGAGAAACTAAAACCAGGGGTCACAACCTTAAAATCAGAGGCCAGCCCTTTCGCACTGAGTTGAGGAAGAACTTCTTCACTCAAAGGGTGGTGAATGTATGGAACTCACTACCCCAAAGGGCTGTTGACGCTCAGTCCTTGAACATATTAAAGACTTAGATAGATAGATTTCTTATTGCAAAAGGGATTAAGGGATATGGGGATAAGGCAGGGCCAGGTTATTAGCTGGCATTAGATTAGAAGATCAGCCATGATTGAATGGCAGGGCAGACTCGAAGGGCCGAATGGCCTACTCCTGCTCCTACATGTTATGGTTATGTTATTCTGTCTCAGCGCTGCTGAAAAAAATGCAAGTTGTTCTTTTAGAAGTGGCGAAAAAGGAGTTCTTAATCTTATTCACAAATTTCTACCACTTCCATTAACTCACTGAACTGGTAGAAATTCATGAATAAGCTTGTGTTTGTCGCCAATAAACTCTCAGACATACGCTGAGTGAAAGAATAAATATCATCCAGTTCAATTGCATCACATTTTTTAGGAAAATACTGAATTCGTTGTGTAGTTACTAAGCACCTGTGTTTGGTTGGTTACACTGCAATAACAGTGTATAGAAAAATCAAACATATTAAATATATGTACACTGCTGTAATTGGAACCAGTGAATGGCTCAGTGGTGCGTAATTATTTACCTTTTGGTTGATTTACTTCATCAGGTCTGTTAATTAGAATCTAGTGAAATCAATCATTCCTGCCCATCAATTGTAAATAAAGGCTAATAATATTACCACGGTGACATCCTGAAGCGGAAGGCCGTTTGGTCCATTGTGTCTGTCTCCTTCAAGAGCAATCCTTTTAGTCCTATTTACCTGCCCTTTCCCGATATCTCTGGAACGGACTCTTTTTTAAAACTTTAAAAAAGAGTCAGCTGCAGGGGTATAGAGAAAATGCAGGTAAATGGAACTGAAAGGATTCATTTTGTGGGAGCCAGCAAAGGTATGATGGGCCGAATGGCCTCCTTCTGTGCTGTCCATGTGAATGTTCAAGTACTTACTGCAGGATCTATGTGCAATTGACATCTAACAATACAGGAAATACATGATCTTCCATCAACACAAAAAGGTTGCAGTGATTAGAGTCGAAAAGATGTCAGTGAAGAATGGAAGTTTGAAATCTAAATATCCAGGTGACATTTTATAGACTACTGAATCAATTACTTTGCAGCTTTGTAACCCCTTACACACATTTCCATTTGAGTTAATACTGAGATGCATTTTCTGGTTTGATGGCAATGTGTAAACAAAATTTTCATTTTACAACTGCGGGGTGGGGGAGAAGGTTAAGCCCCATTTGTGCGATTTTAGCACGGAGATTATGAAAAATAGTTGTTTTCCAAAGCCAGGTACTTTCAGAGTAATGAATGTACATAAAGTACTTGTCAGACATTAAAAGGACGACTCCAGTGACCACTTAAATTCAATACTGTCTGTGCCTTACTTTAAAAGACATCAGGATTGAAAAACATAGCCCTTGCAATCATAAACATTGGCCATTCAATAAAGTGGCAATAACTCCAAGGTTGTACTGGATAATAAAGCCACAACTATATAATGGTGGGAGATTGCCTTCCAGTAAATCCTACTTTCTAGTTTTGTGCGTTTCAAATGTTTCTTGCATGCAACTCTTTGCTATGCACATTTAATCTGTTATTGAGATATTTTTAAGTTAATTGTCTTCCGTTCTTTTAAGCGCTCGGGGATACTACTCCATGTGAAGAGCACTATATAAATGCAAGTTGGTGTTGTAGTTGCTGAACTGTATAATAGTAAACTATGTGTTAATGTTGGGATATTTCAAATCCCTCTGTGTTTAATATAAAATCTGATTATTACTTATTTCTCCTATCATTTCTATAACATGTTGGTATAGCTTTTACAAAGTCTGCCAACAAGAATGAATCCAGTAATCCTGACAAACTAGCTGTGGAATGTTTCTTGGTCCGATCAGGACTTGCTGAAATCTTGAGCTGTAGCAGCAATGTTCCAAAAGAAACCCTGCATTAACTTCTACAGATTGGAGATAATACAATGGCAAAATTCCTCATTTAGAGCATTTAATTTGTAATGTTTTCCTTCCATGTACATTGCAATTTTTTAGTGAGATTTCTGAGAAAATAAATATTAATTTGGATTATGATTCATGAAGTGTACTAGGCAATCATGCATGTCAGAAACTTGAGTCACACCTAAATTGTGACACAATTTCCCTCAAAGGTAAAAATACATTGCTGTCAATCGGCATTACATTGTTATATGTGCAGGTAATTTTATATTACGCTGAATTTGTTGTATGATTTTGGCCATTTAAAACAAAGTTGTATTTATCTATATCCAATTGATAAAATAGAACGTTAACTGGTTGATTACATTATCTTTACATAGTTTTCGCCACGGTAACATTTTTCATAGATGGTACAGGTTTTGAACTTCGGAATTAAGCTGTCATTGTACTGGTGTGAACTTGTGCCAAAAGAGTTGTAATTGAGCTTGCGCTGTCTTGTGTGTCAGGTGAAGCAGGTTCTTCAAACTGAGTTATCTGGTTTCGTCTGCTGCTCGAATGTAGTGCAGGCAGAGCGCTCATTGTTAGAAGTGCTTCAAAGATACTTGGGTTCACATATGGGTGCCCTGTGCTTTGAGAGGTGGACAAATGTTACAAATACAAGATACAGAGATAAAAGAATTGCGTTGTGGTGTTAATTATCATTGGTGATAATTATCACTTTGTAGAAATTTCTGCCCAGTCGATGTTTGGCTTTGTGCGACTCTGACTCCCATCACAATGGTCCGGGTCAAAGGCACCTGCTGAGGCCATTGGACTTGTGGCTTTGGCTGCAGTTAGCAAGATACAGGTTAGCAGAATTTAAATCTTTAAATTCTGTTCAGAGAAACGTTTTTAAATTTGTTGATCATGGACATCTTGAGAGTAGGTGGTTTTATGTAGAATTCCCTTTTCGGTGACTTGCATGAAGTCCACTACAGTTAGATTATCACTGGGGATTATTGCCTTTCTCTACCCAAAATGTCACCGAAGGAAGGAATCTACACAAACCATCAGCCCTTTTATTCAGGATCAAAAATCTTGCTACCCTGACTTAGAAAGAAGATGAGCAATGTAAATGTGTGAATATCTTTTTAAATTTGTATTTATGCTCCATGAGAGTGAAATGCCTCTGGTTGGCATGATGCAGATAAGTATAAAATAGGTTGGATGCAGCACAAAGCTGCACCTGTTCCACTTCAACAATGCACTTTAACCCTATGCTCTGAGTGTCTCCCTAACCCTAGTATGAATGTTTACACTTGTACATGGCCTCATAGTGGTCTTTCTGAATCACTGCAAGTTCTTCATTATTGGGTAGCTTTGGCAGTGGAATAGTAACTGAGTTGAGATCCTCTCACTCGTTTTCAAATCCCTTCATGCCCTTGCACCTCCCTACCTATCCGATCTGCTTAGCCCCAACTCCACCACCCGCTGCCTATGCTCGGCTGGCTCTGGCATCCTGTTTGTCCCTCGTCCCCTCCACTCCACCATCAGTGGCCGTGCCTCCAGTCACTATACCCGAAACTCTAGAACTCTCTCCCTCAATCCCTCTGCCCTGCCCCCTCCCTCCACACCTTTAATTCCCACCTAAAGATCTTTTTGATCGTGCTTACGGTCACCTCCGGTTCCCCCGGGCTCGGTGTCAGACTCCGCCACTGTCAAATGCTCCAGGACACTATCCCACATAAAGGGCACTATATAAGTGCAAGTTGTTGTAAATGCAAGTTGTTGAGATGGTCAAAACTTATTTTACTGAAGATCTTTTTGCAAGTTTTGGAGAATTCCTGCAAATGAGGGTGACGTATTTCTTACCAGAAACAATCTCTATTTTTGCGATTACTTATTGACGAATCTCACTAAGAAGTACTAGAAGTTAAAATTCTGTGTTACAGTTATGTTATCTTCTATTCATACTGTGGCTGTGCAGTGTGTATTCTGCTAGGAAAATATGTTGCAACGCATAAACTGTGGTATTTGGAAAATGTGACCCTCCCTTTCTCCCCGGCACAACAACCCAAATGTTCTTGAGTAAAACATTGTGTGTGCTTGCCTTAAAAGAGGTTATGTTGTCTTGTAGAGTTGTACAGCCACATCAGCACCAGATGTTAGATGAAGATGAATTGCCTAACTCCAGTCAAAGTGAGGAGAAACCTGGTCCATCACGAGCTGGAAGTAGAAAGCGGCAGCCTAGCATGTCTGAGACAATGCCCCTGTATACACTCTGCAAAGAGGACCTGGAGAGCATGGACAAAGAGGTGAGACCAATGGTGGTAACAGGAACAAGAGGAAAAATAGTATTAGCCACAATAGTCAATTCTAATTGTAAACGTATTTGTAAATATATATATCTATAAGTAAACACACATGCACGTGTTGGGATGCTTGTGTGGAATCGGTTTTAGGAGGCAGATTCGGAAGCCTGATCAACGGTTAAGGTGTTGTCATTAAGAAGGTTTCAAACCTATTGATCTAGAAATTCACTCCCCCTCCCCCCCATCCACTTTATTGTAAATGATGCCTTGTTTTTGTGGTGAATTCAGTGTGTTGCAGTGTTGTGATCTGCAGTGATCACTTCAGACTCAACAATCTGTAATGCTGATGAAACAAAATGCATGCATATAAATAAGTTCTTTGGTAAAAGAAGAAACTGGTCATGTTGATGATGGCTGTAATTGAATGATTTGCCGTCATCAGCTAGCTGTTTCTGTGAAAGTACAAGTTGTTCTAACTTTTCCTGATAATAATATACACATTTTCAGCTTTTGCCCGGGGGCATGTTTTGAAGGTAAGGTCGCATAAAAAGCAAGAAAAAAAATCAATATCTTGTAAATACTATTCATTTCCCTCCTAAATATCAAAATTGCTAAACTCTACAGTTTAGCTCTGAAATAATGAAGGTGACAATTCTTACTTTAACATCTTTATCCAATCGGTTTGTGTATCAGAGGATTGATATAGCAGGAACTGGCCCATCATACCCAACTGCTCAAATTCCATTTCCCTGCTCTTTCCACGTACCATTTTATGTTCTTCTAAAAAATATTCATCACATTGTCAAAATTCCCTCACTATCCATCTGTGGCAGAAAATCATGATATTCTTTGGAGAATAATTATCTTATTTAGTTGCTTTTCTTTGGAATCAATAGCATGGAGGTCCTTATTGTAAATAAGAGAGGGAGTCATTTTATTTTAATGCAAAGGATGTACCCAACATCAATGAGAGCCTTTCAGGACTACAGAAGGAATCGTCTTAGTGTTCTAGTCACAAGTTTTGGATGTACACTGGTAGATGTGTTGCTAATGGGGTTGAAAGAACAATAACAACAAACAGCAAATGAGATTTATATAGCGGCTTTCACGTTGGCACGCCACTTGTAATGAAAACAATATTTGCACAATTTTGGCTCCAACCTGAGATCTATGTTATCTATGTTTTAAAAAAGGGTAATTTGGAAAAATCAGGTGGAATGTCTCCTTCTGTGCAGAACATTTCTAAGGTTTCTATGTTTTCTTTCCTATCAGGGCCAAAGTCCCGCAAGTCTGTCCCTGTGACATGCAGGAATACTCTGTTGAAAACAGACTATATGTTGGGATGTGCTTTTTCTGATTGCCTGGTGCTATAGCTTTGTGTGAATATGACGTGTTGTTTGGAATAAAAAAGACTTACTGTCCCCAGATCCAACTTGATCAGTTTCTTGGTGAAAACCAATGAGCAATTAAACTCTGAAGTTTTCTTTAACCTCTGATTGTGCAGGACTCCAGGACATTTGTCCACACTATACATGACATCAAAGAAATCTTGTGGGAAATGGATACTTAGGCTCAATGGACTTGTGATCAATCCTACCTGAAATTGTTATCATTCTACTCTCTGACTGGTCCCAGCAGTAAAGGAGATACAGTATTTTCTTCAGTAGAACTTATCAATATCCCCATCTGTACTTGTATCATTCAGTCCTCTCGTAAAAGAGATAAGAAAAGAACATTCCAACAGCTACTTTTGATAACAGTTTCTGAGCAATCGGTTTGTTGACAAAGGTTTCGTCAAACTTGCCTCAGTGTGGATGAGTGATACAATAGAACCAGTATGTTGTGGAACTGCTCCTAATTATTTGCTCTTTCAGTGTAACGTGGCAATGATATTGGAGTAATTTGGTAGCTCCGTGACTTTGATATGTTGTTTTTCCCCTTACCATTTGTTAAGGACGGGCTCCAAATAAATGTGAGAATACAGCAATTTATTTTGAGTTTTATTAAAATTAATTGTGGCAACAGAATATCCACTCCAGTGATTTTTGTTGTGTTATTTTCATTCTGAACTGGCTGTGACATATAACATTATCCCTTTGATGTATTGTTGAAAGAAGGTCACAGCCAGCATTCACTGCGGTGCCGTTAATAATAAGAGATGGTCATATAAATAACAAAAAGAGTCTCCCAGTCAGTGTACAGAAAATATATTGTATAGTATATTGCTTAATTCAAAATAAAAAACTGAAACTTTAATTTGTTTCTGAAAAGACAACATTTGAAACAGCAAAGCCACTTCAGCTGAAATAACGAATATCTCTCTCTCTCTCTGTCGAACACATTTACTTGTTACATTTAGCTCTCATTTTGTCATCTCAATAGTCTACTGAACCCTGCAAGTCATGTTTCGTGCAACATGTTGAATGATGACATCTTGTAGATTTTCTTTTGTGAAACAATAGTGCATTTTGTAAGCTCTAAATTGAAAATCCTTTAAGTTAGACACAACTACTGCTAACTGCACAACTACTACTTCATCAAACAATTCAGTTAGGTTAGACAGGTGTGACCTACCCTTGACAAACCCAACTCCCCCTGTTCAACTTGTGCCTATCCATGTTTTTCTTATTTTTATCCTTGCATGTTGCCTCACGGATAATTAATTCCAATAACTTCCTTACTTCTGATGTCAATGTTATTATCCTATAATTACAAGGATCATCTCTACTTCCTTCCTTGAATAAAGGTTTATTAGTCATCTTCCTACATTTAGTATTATCTTGGAGTCCAGCCACTTCTGGAAGATCACAACCAATGCTTTGCCCACCTCCTCCCAGCCATCTCCTTCAATATCCTTGGGAGAAAATGGTCAGGAATAAGTAATTTATTTGGTTTCAACTACCTCATCTTCACTATCAAAGTATTTACAATGATCTTCTTTAGCTTATTTTTACTAATTGTTACACCTCCCTACATGTGTCTAAATGTCAAGCGCTCCGGGACGCTACCCCTGAGTAAATGGCACTATATAAATGAAAATTGTTGCATATCATTGTCTCTTTCTATAGGGAAAAACAAAACTGAACTTGAGTTTAATAGCTCTCCCATGCCCCGTCCTCAGTTATCTCACCATCACGTGTTTACGGTTGCACTTCTTTTACTGCCTCTTTTTTCCGATAGTGCATATAGAAGCATTCCGAGAAGCCTTCTGGGGTGAATATTTGATTCTCTCTATGATAATAATAATAATCCTTGTATTTGATTTTGCCCCTTATCACGTCTTTGAGACGTCTCAAAGCGCTTCGCAGGTTATACTGTAAAGTGAATTGACTGTATATTTTGTGGGCGAAATCTTTAATTCCTGCTATTTTTTTGCTCTCCTTACAATATTTCTGGTTTTCTTTTAGTGCCTCACCTAGTTCCATTCCATTACATACTTTCTGTTTTTTCTCTAAGATTTATATATGGCAGTTTCTTCTCCTTGATGCTCACTCATGCCTTCTTTGTAAACTGCAGCTGTTTTGCGTCCAAAGTATTAATTTAGCATTTCAACAGTCTCTACTTATTATGTAATTATTTCCTTTCTAAATAGGCTATGCTTCTGTTCTGTTGATTTATCTCATTAAAAGTTCCTCTTATCCTATGTTATTTAATCCTAATTTCACCCATCAAAATTTGCCTCTTTTAAGTCTGGGTTAAGTCTGTTCCCTGAACAACAAAGGAGAATGCGTGGTGAAGACGGGCAGAACTGGAATTTTCAAAATTTAATTGAATGATGGAAGAACAGTGCGTTGGTACAGTGGGACTGCTCACTGACAGCCAATAGGAGAAATCCCCCTTTCTTAGCACATAGGTAGGCGAAGATGTCCAAACAGCATTTGCAGGTGACCTTGCCATGCATCGCTGACAGACAGACTGCATCTTTCGTGGTGTTCATTAGCGCTGTCTTTCTCAAACACATCTATATTTGTTTTAAATCTAGTTTTCAGGCAAAGCATCAAAATATTGGCAGCACAATTCACCCACCAGACTGAATTAAGAAAGCAGTTGTAGATGGAATGTGTTCTTACTGGAAATGTATAGTACCTTAGGAACCAGGAGTAGGCCATTTGAGCCTCCTCCTCCATTAAATCTGCAGCAACTCTTTTAATTTCTCTTCTTTATATCTCCCAATATCCAGTGCTTCAATTGACAGGCCATATCGACCTGTCTGCACCCTCAGCTCAACAGGCTCCAGCCTTCTCCCACCCGATCCGCCCCACCATCGGCGGTTGGGCCTTCACCCTCTCTGCCCCCACCCTCTGGAACTCTATCCCACTTGCTCCCTGTCTTGCCTCCTTTAAGGCACGTCTCAAGACCCTTCTCTTCGACCATGGCTTTGGTTACCCTCCTATCCCTACCTTCCCTGCCCCCCCACCCTTCCCAATTCCAACCCTTAGCTTGGGTCTAAATCCCTGACTGTCCAGTGCCTTGGGACGTGAAAGGCGCTAAACAAATATAATTATTTGTTGTTGTTAACACCAAAGGAACAACCTACAAGAACATCCTCAGTTAACTGTATAAGAATTTGTTACATGAACTTTCAATTTGTACAATAGCAGTGTATTGTTGTTTTGTTTCTTGCCAAGGTTTTTTTTTCTCCAATGAGTTCAACTCCTGTCTTCTAAATACCCTACTGCAAAAGAAGTTCTATGGGTATCCTCTGGTCCTTTCTTGAAGTGACTATTCACAAGGTCACAAAATTGGTTTACATGAAGGTCTTTTGGCCTATTTGATCTCATCCTTCCAGAATACCAACCCACTATCTTCACATAACAGCCTCAAGCTGTTTTTTTTTAAAAAGAATGAGTTAATTACCAATGACTTGCTCGTATTTAAAGCTGCCTCTGATCTTTGTAGAGCAGACAAAATTGTAAAGATGTCAATATTTAAAATGCCAGAAAATGCTCAACATTTATAACTGATACTGTAAATAAAAGGTTAAGATGAAATTTTAAAAAAAT